ATAGGGGGCGGGGCATGCTAATAAGCCTACTGCATAATCATGAGCTCCAGGGAAAATGACACAGTCTCCGTACACTGAAGGGGGAGGTAAGGCTAGGTAAAAGGCGGAGCTATGCTAATAGGGATTGGGGAACGACCTTCCCCGTGGAGGGGAATTCCTAGAGGGGCGGGGCTATGCTAATGAGAAAGAGACCTGCGCTCCCAGGGAGCGGCGCCACGCGCTCTGGGCTGGAGGGCCGCCTGGGGGCGGGGCTATGCTAATACAATCTCTCATTCTTTGGGCACACGGGTAGGAAAGCTCGTTCTGGGCGGGGCTATGCAAATAAGGAGCTCCGTGAGGCCGCTTCTCAGGGCACCGCCCCAGTAGTAGGTGGGGCTGGCCGGCTCCCGCGCGGCCGTATATAGGCGCGCTCCAGGGAAGGAGTAGGTCCTGGGGGGAAGCTCCACCCCCGCCCTGGGATCCTGGCCAGACTCCCGACCCGGGCGTCCGGGCTGGATGTCGTAGTCTCCGCCCGCTCAGGGACCCAGGCTTCCGGTTCCCGCTGTCCCAACCAAGCGGAAGGCAGACTGGGAGGGGAGTTGGGGCCCTGGAGGAGGACAGCCCAGTAACGGGACAGGGAGGGGCCGTGAGATCACTGCATTCCTAATCCATGAGCCAGTTCGCCCAGGCCGGGACGCCTGGGTCATGAAGGGCCTATAGCCAGGAAGTCTGGGTCTTTGGAGGAAGCTGAAGGCCCAGACTCCTGGGTCCCTAGGAGAGAATGGGGCTCGAGGTCTGCATTCCTGTATCCCGGGGAGGAGGGATCTGGGGGTCCTTATTATTAGGACTATCCATGTCCCGTAAAGGAGGAAGCTGAGGGCCCAGCCAGACTCGGGTCCAGCAGTTGGAGGGACTGGGGACCCAGAATTCTTGATCCCGAGGGAATTGAGATGGGGAACCAGAACCTGTGTTCGTGTAAGGTACGAGCTTGAGACCAGGAATGGTCCGAGGGCCCATCTCCTGGATCTCAGAAAGGAGGAAGGCTCGGACTCCTGAGTCGCAGGGAGGAGGGAAATGGGAACCCGAAATCCTCTGCCGAGTGAGAGGAATAGGAATTTGGACTTTACTATCCTAAATAAGGAGGCTGTAGGGCCGGCCTTTTTGGTTCTAAATTTAGAGGGGACTAGGGGGGATCGAGATTCTGGGCTCCCCAGAATGTGGGCGGGGCAATTTGCAGTCAATCCAATTTTTTTTTTCTTCTACTGCACGCTCCGAACTACAATTCCCTTGCATCTATCGGGCTAAATGCTGTTTAGGTCACTTCCTGCTCCTCAGCTCTTTCCGCGCGCGCAGGGCATTGTGGGGCTACATCGCGGGCTACCGCAAACCCGCCCACTTCACCTCTCACCTCCTTGCTGTCCCCGCGTGACGGAAGCGACGCGCGGACTACGCCTCCCGGCGTGCGTCGCGCGCACCCCTGCCCAGGCGCCCCGTTGACTGTTGGGAAACTGAGTCCAGAGCCTTCCCACCAGCCTTCACGGCACCGTGCACCGTACTTGAAGTCCCGGCAAGCTCGGCGGCGTTTTAAACAGGGAAATGCAAATCAAAACCACAGTGAGATGCCACTTCACTCTCACGAGGATGGCTGTAATAAAAAGATGAATAATAACACATGGTGAGACTGAAGAACTTGGAGCTGTAGTACACTGCTGTTGGGAAGGTGAAATGGCGTGGCCCCTTTGGAAATGGTCTGGCACTTCCTCAAAATGTTAAGCATAAAGTTTTCATATAACCCAGCAATTCTACCCCCAGGTATAGACCAAAGAGAAATGAAAACATATGTCTACACAGAAACTTGTTCATGAATGTTCATAGCTGCATTATTCATGATAGCCAAAAAGTGGAGCAAACCAAATGTTCACCAACTGGTGAATGGATAGATAGAATGTGGTATGTTCATACAATGGACTATTATCTCTCTATATAAAAGGTTAATATGTAAAGAAACTGGGAGTTCGATCGCTCGCTATGATTTGGACTGACCAGGGGGTGGGCGCGGAACAAAGGGAGGCCCCGGCCGGCAGCCTGAAGGCCCTGATTGGCCCTGATCCCAGGCCAGGCCTAGGGACCCTACCCGTGCACGAATTTCGTGCACTGGGCCTCTAGTTCAACAATAAAAAGGAACGAAGTACTGATATATGCTACAACATGAATGAACCTTGTAAACATTGTGCTAAGTGAAACAAGCCAGCACATGCTGTGATTTCCTTTGTATGAAATATTCAGGATAAGTAAATCTACAGAGCTGGAAAGAAGAATAGTGGTTGCCAAGGACTGGGGAGATGGAGTTTAGATGGGTGACAACTTAGGAGAGTATTCTAAATTGATTAGAGTGATGCCGAGGTGGGGTAAGATGGCGGGGTGGTCCGGGCCGCGGGGCTCGGGCCTATCGGGGTGGGCGGGGCGGAGTCGGGTCGCTAGTCGTCCTGCGGTCCTCCCCACACGCCGCGGGGCCCGGAGGACTTAGCGGGGCGGCCTCCGGTCCGGCAGCGGAGGCGGAGCCTGGCGCCGAACGGGGGGCCTTCGCAAGGCCCCGGGACGGGTCTGTGGGTGCCGCGGGCATCTACGGGGCGTCCCCGTGAGAACTGGGGACGTCCACCGGGCCTGGGCCGAGGCTGGCGCCTGCCCTCCACCATGGGTCTTGTCTGTAGGCACTGTGGATCGTCTTGATGGGCTGGCCCGAGGCTAGGGTCTGTTCGGAGGGTTCTGGGGCCATCTTGAGATCTTGAGACATGTCCCAGAGGTGAGGGAGGTTTGCAAGAGCCGAGGACTGTCTGCTGAGCCGTCTGTGGCTCTGGGGTATGGCCATCGGGGCTGCGAAGTGTCTACATGGGCTGACCCGAGGATGCCACTCACCTACCCGGGTCCGGGGCCATTTAGCGGGCCTGCCCGAACGGATCCTGGGTTAGGAAGTCATTTAGCGGTGGGATGTGCCCCCCAGGGGAGGGAGGCCAATACTGAGATGTGCTGAGAGGCCTGGATGGGTCTCCCGAGTCTGGGGAGCGGCTAATCGGAGTGACAGGAGGCCGGGGGACAGTTAGAAGGACCTGGACCCGCTCGGTGGCTTTGAGTGTTGCCTGCCCGGGTGCAGCCTCTATGCCCGGAGCAAATTCGAATGTCTTTTGGGCCAGATAATCAGATGGAGAATAAGACAAAGGAGATTATTGGAAAATATGCGGAACGCAAATGTGCTTGCACTTTAGAAGGTAATTCAAATGAAAAAAAAAATGTCTTCAAAGTCTGCATTGCCTTGGGGCTCTGGAGTGAGCACTCGTCCACATGAGTCGGGAGCAGTCCCTAGGATCGACCCCTTAGCCATCCGGTGCAGCGCTTCTCAAACTCTCTTGACCTTGATTTGCAGTAAGAAATACATTTTTCATTGAGACCCCCAGTACCTACTGACATATATATTTAACCGTATACCCACGTCCCGTTGGTGTTTCCACTTAGTACTTGCAACGCGAAGGATTTTCTACTGCGTTCTATGGATTTACTTTCTGTGATCAGCCGTTTGTGAAGCACTTATACCGCTATCGGTGGGAATCACTCACTGATTTAGAGGGACCTAGTAATGTCTGCAGAGCCTTTTCAAGTAAAAAAAGAAAGAAATAGAAATGTAAGGAGCCACTGGTATGTGTGTCTTCACAGCTTGGGGCATGCCTGCATGGGCAAGTGAGAGTCTCCATACAGAGGGTTTGGGGATCCTGTGTCTGTCTGCAGCCTGCAGGTCTTGATTAAGCTTCTGTTCTGTGAATCACTGAAACTTGTGCTTCCCCCTGGAGGTGCTGGAGGGAAGCTCCAGGGCTGGGAACTGTCCTTAGGGCCTTATCAGGGCGGGTGTCAATGGGGAGTTAGGGAAGGAGCCTTTAGAGGGGTGGGAGGCGGCATGGGGGAGCTTTCAGAAAGCGTGAAAAATTGCCCAGCCTTCCATGGCTCAGTGATTGAGCGTTGACCTATGAACCAGGAGGTCATGGTTCAATTCCTGGTCAGGGCACATGCCCGGGTTGCAGGCTGGATCCCCAGTGTGGGGTGTGCAGGAGGTAGCCGATCAATGATTCTCTCTCACCACTGATGTTACTCTCTCTCTCCCCCTCTCTGAAATCAATAAAAAATAATAATATTTTTTAAAAGCTTGAAAATCTGGTAGGAGGGAGACCAGGACAGAGGTCTTTGCAGGTATGCAGTGGAGAAAAGGGGTTTGGGGGAAGCCTGGCCCCTCAAGGCTAATAATAAAGATGATAATAATTGTCACTCTGTGCTGAGCGCTGGGTTGAGCTAAGTCTGTGGGAGAAGCGGCTCTTTTCAGTTCTCGCCGCTGTTCTCTGGGGTAGACGCGCTGATTGCGCCATATACAGATAAGCACCCTGAGTGGGGGTCAGGGGTTCGAAGCTTTCTAGGAACTGTGAGACTGGGTATGGTTGCAGGGAAGCGGGTTTGACAGCTGGAGGGAAGCCTGCAGCTGAAATGTGCCTATTTTCCGAATCCCTCACTAAGACAACCGCATCTGAAGGGTGACCTCTGAGCTTCTGTATAATCTAAGAATTTCTGTGACATCGCGAAGGCGGCAGCCATGCTTTCATGCGGTGGGCATTCAGGCCAGAGGCGATGTCCCCGGGGGGTGTCTGGTGGGCAGCGGGCCCTTCTAAGGTTAGTATTCTCATTTCAAAAGCGGGACACGGGTTTTGCAAGTCACACTGTCACCGTTCCGTCTTAGATACGTAAATAGTTTGGGTCCCTCACCATCAAGGAAGATGGATGATGCTTTAGGAAGTTGTGTGGTGTTGGAGGCGCACCCGGCACGCACCTCATTTTAGGAGTGGCGCAGGCATGGGACTGTGGAGCGCACTATCCGAGAGCACAGCTCAGCGGAGAAAATTCTTGGCCCGGGAGCGTGGGCCAGGAGGTCTTACGTCGGGTTGTGGTGGAAGCTGTGGGGTCTGCGGAGCGGGGTGTTGACATAGGAGACGGGAAGGCCTCCCCTCGACAGAGGAGGCAGCCGAAATCCAGACGAGGGAAGGGAATGGCTCTGCTCCCTCTGGTGTCTGCCCTGGACCTGGTGCCCCCCCAAGGACTGGGATGAGGTGGGGGGGGAGGGATGCTGAAAGGATACTGACTGTGGGGACGTTGGAGGCCCTTGAGGTCCTCGTGACCGTTCTCTGCTTTTGTCCCTATGTGTGCTCACACACCTCACACACACACCCCCACCCCCGCTGGCCTGCATTCCACACTCCCATCCCTCAACCCGCAGGTGACCATGGAGGAAGAAGATGAGTCTCGAGGGAAGACGGAGGAGTCGGGCGAGGATAGGGGCGATGGCCCGCCGGACAGAGACCCCACGCTTTCTCCTACTGCCTTTATTCTGGTGAGGCCTGAACCACCTGGGGCCACAGGAGGGAGGGGCTGAGAGTCTGGTATGGACTCGGGGGCCCCAGAGGGCGGAGGGGCTGGGGGCCTAGACTCTTGGCTCCTCTGAAGGGTTTGAGTCTGGTTGTAGGGTGTCCAGAATGCCTGTCTCCCCGGAGCAGAGCTCGTGACCATTTGCACGAGTCCCCTGACCGCCGCCCTTTCTCTCCACCTCTCCACCTCCCATCTTTTCTTCAGCGGGCCATTCAGCAGGCGGTGGGAACTTCCCTGCAGGGGGACCTGGCGAATGATAAAGGTACAGGCGGGGGGGTTCTAGTTCCTCTGAAGCTCCCTGCCCCATCCCTGCATTCTTTGCCCCAATTTCCTTCCCGGACTTCTCCGGGGTCTCCTGGGGGCCGCCCTTGTGCTGGTGGAGGAGCTGAAGAGAAGGCTGCCGTGGAGGGTTCCCAGTCTGGTGGAAAGGAGGCAGTCATGGCACAGAGGTAGCCTGTGGGACCCGAGCAGGCAGGAGGTCCAGCTGAGCTAATGGAGGAGCCTGTCCAGGAGGGCTTCCTGGAGGGGGTGGCCTATTAGAGTTGTCCGGCGGGGAAGAAGGCCCGAAGAGGCAATAGCAGGCGCATAGCACAGGGATGGGCTGCAGGACTGATCTGTGTTTCTTAGGGGCGGTGGGCAGGGGTGGGAGGGGAGGCAATGGAAGTCCTTGGGGACCAGGTCAGAGCCGAGCTGCCTGGTCTGGGCTCTATCCTGAGGGCAGCTAGGAGGCCGAATGGGTGAGAGCCGGAGTCTCAGGAGGGTGTTGGGAAGTGGTAGGTGGAGGTTGGGAGAGCAGGCAGGAGCTGGGTCCCCTGGCAAGAAGGAGGGCGGGCTTCTCTTTCCCCCGCCCCCCAAAACCTCTGCGACTAGTCCTCTGTCCTCAGTCCCCATGCATGTCTCTCTCCAGATGGCTCTAGGTGTCATGGCCTTCGATGGAGGCGCTGCCGGAGCCCGCGGTCAGAGTCCCGTTCCCAGGAGTCAGGGGGAACTGACACGGCTGCTGTGAGTAAGGAGGGGGCAGGGGGGATCAGGCCCTGGGCCTGGATCCCTGAGATGGGGAGGTGGGGTTGGGGATCCAGCCTCCTGGGTCTGGGGTGCTGATCGGGGGCCGTGTTGGAGAGTATGGGGGTCAGGCCTTGGGGGCAGTCAGCATGAGGGAATTGGTTGAATCCATTTTTTTCTTGGGGGTCTCAGTTGTCTGGGTTCTTGAGAGGTTAGGGGCTGGGGGAATGGGATTTGTGGTCCTCACGGGATCAGGGTCAGGGTGGAGCCTCTCCTCCCTACCCCAGGTGTTGGACATGGCCGCAGACAGCTTCCTGGCGGGGTTGGTGAGCGTCCTGGATCCCCCAGACACCTGGGTTCCCAGCCACCTGGACCTGCAGCCTGGCGAGTGAGTAGTTGGGCAGCTGGAGTGGGAGAGGCCTTGGTGTGCGAGCTGGGAGCACCCCTGAGGCTCACTCACTCCTTTTGTCCCGCAGAAGCGAGGACATGCTGGAGCTGGTGGCTGAGGTCCGCATCGGGGACAGGGATCCGATCCCACTGCCAGTGCCCAGCCTGCTGCCTCGTCTCAGGGCATGGAGGACGGGCAAAACGGGTATGTGTGACCAGGGCAGAGCTGGGCAGGTGGCCGGCCTTGGCTCTGTGTGTGTCAGAAACAGTCGTGATGATTGTGTCATATAGACAGAATCTTTATTTTCGTGTTCGTTCCCCCTGTTACACTGGAATTAAGGCTGCAGTGCCTACAGGTATCCCTCAAGTAGAAACCGCTCCAGGGTCCTGCCTGTCAGTGTGACTGCGTGGGGTCTTGTCTCCCCAGGAGGGGGCACCCCTAGCATCTCCGCCTTCCAGAGGAGAGGCTGAGAGAGGGAAGTCACTTGTTCAGGGTGACACAGCCAGTGGTTTAGGGGTGGTCCTGAGCCCCAAGCCCAGATGTGTCCGAGGGTAAGGCCCAAGTTGTTGACGTCTGTGATGCACACCTGCCCACGTGAAAGTCTGCCCCCAGCACCACGGATGAGCACCCGTTCTCAAACAGGAGAAGGCATCGGAATCACCAGGGGGATTTTTTAAAAATATTTTTTTATTGATTTCAGAGAGGAACGGAGAAGGAGAGAGAGAAACATCAGTGATGAGAGAAAATCATTGATCGGCTGCCTCCTGCACGCCCCACCCTGGGGATGGAGCCCACAGCCTGGGCATGTGCCCTGACTGGTTCATAGGTCAGTGCTCAGCCACTGAGCCACGCAGGCCGGGCACCAGGAGGACTTCTTGAGGCACAGGTCGCCAGGTTGCTCTCAGGTTTCTGTTTCGGCAGGTTAGGGGTGGGGCTTGGAATTTGCATTTTTAACCCTGGTCATGCTGCTGCTGGACCCCGGACCCCGAAGGGACCTGGGTTAGACTTCCCTTTTGCATGTCCCTTCATGTTTGGGGATGCCGGGGTCCAACCCTTTCCTAACTTCAGGGAAAAATCCCTACCTGGGGAAACAACCTTTCTCGGAGAGGTGACCTTGGTTAAAACACACAGCGCTAAGGGGAGCAAACATATTAAGAACAGTATGCTATATACGCCAGGTCCCTTGAAACATATGCTGTGCAGATGTTTCTTTCCTGCAGCGACTGTGTCAAGCAGCAAGGATGGACCGGCTTCCGGCATGGGGAGGGGTAGAGAGGACAGGAAGAGGAAGGCTAGCAGGAGGTCAGCTGCCAGCCACTGTGGCTCAGGGACCCTCGGAGCCGGTTCACGGTTTCCTTGTCCTTTCTGTACAGCTGCAGTTTGACCTGTCTGTTAGGCTCGGGGACATGGTGCCTAGGACCCAACACACCCTTAGGGGCCCACAGAAGAAATTTCATTTCTTTTGAAATTAGAAGCTATGGAGGATAAGTAAACAAATGAGCGGGACTGTGTTCCAATAAAACTTTATTTACAAAAACAGATGGTGGGTCCTGGGTCTTAAGTAAAATAGATGTATAGAGAACCCAGTAGTTGTCTCCAGGAGATATGTTTTATTTCCTTATTCCAAGTGTTCTTTTGGTCTTCATTTGGAAAATACTAAGAACTTAGGAAAAAGAAAAGAAAACTCACCCTTATTTCCACTCCTGTATAAAAACTACATTAAGGAGTAGATGCCTGTGCTCCCAGACCACTCTGTCTAGATTTTTTTTTTTAGTGTTTTTTTTTAATCGATCATTTTGGATATATTTAGGTATTGTCACTTGGCTTATTGCAGGGTTTTATTCTTTTTATATTTTTATTGATTTCACAAAGGGAGGGAGAGGGCAATAGAAACCTCAGTAATGAGAGAGAATCATTGATTGGCTGCCTCCTGCACGCCCCCTACTGGGGACCGAGCCCGCAACCCAGGCATATGCTCTTGAGGGGAATTGAACCCGGGACCCTTCAGTCTGCAGGCCGACACTCTATCCACTGAGCCAGACTGGCTGGGGCCCTGCTTTATTTTCCTCCAGAGCCCTCAGCAGCTGACAGATTCTACGCTTGGCATGTTGCTATTTCTCTCCTCACTTGACTGTGAGCTCTTCGAACGCAGTGATTTTTGTCTATTTTGTTCCTCTTTCTATTCCTGGTACCCCAGTCGGCACCAGGCACAGCTAGGTGATAGATAAAAGTATTGAATGAATGCACGAACCCTGCTTTATAGATGAGGAGACAGACAGACAGAGGTTGAGTGACTTGCCCACAGTCCGGTCATGAGGGAGGGCTGGCGCCTGGGATCCAGATTGGGAGGTGGCCCCAGAGCTGCCCTCAACCCTGTGCTTCTGCGTGACGCGCTGGCGTCCTTGCCACGGCAGGTCCTTGCAGTTACATGTGGCTGTCGGGCCTGTGGACTCTGATGTGTGTCTGCGTCTTGGTGCAGGACTTGGCACTGAGACCTGTGCTTAGAGGCAGGGTTTCAGGGTGTGGACGAGGTGACCTGGGGAAAGTATGATGGTCGCCCCGTCACGGGCGGGTGTTGTCTCTACGTCCTGAGCAGATGTAGCCCCTTGAGTGGGGTCATTGCGCACTGAAGGGTCTGGAATGGAGACTCCGGCGGCCAGGGCTCCCTAGCTCCGCCCCTTCCCGGCTCTGCAGAGGGAGCCGCACCTTCTCAGGCTCCCATTCTCTGTAAAATGGGATCACCTCCCACAGAGGCAGCGGCTCAGCAGGCCTGAGCCTGGCCTGCGGGCGGTCTGAGGTTGGAATCCAGCTCTCCCGCCCAAGCCCGCACCCCCTGCAGTAACATCCCTGCCCTCAGTGGTCAAGGTGGTCTTGGGCTGCGGGCCAGTGTCCATCTCAGGAGGGCGTGCAGGCTGGGGGACCACACTGACCAAGTTTGCACCCTGACTCCTCCCCGCTGTGCGTCCTTGGGGAAGCTACCGCAGCTCTCTGTGCCTCAGTTTCCTCCTGGGACCCTCGATCCACAGTATCTGGGGTAGAGTAGTTAGGAACATCCTGTGAGCTGACACATGCGAAGCGCTGGGGCAGTACCTGTAGGTGCGGGAGTGCTGAGGGCGGGGAGGGCATGGATGGCTGCTGGCTCCCCGGCAGCCCCTCCCTGGGGGGGACAGGGAGGCGGGACTGCACCTGACCATCTCTCTCCCCGTTCCTTTGCAGTTTCTCCTCAGTCTCATTCTTCTCAACCCACCCGTGCCCGCCACCTCCTCACCTTGGGCACTGGAGACGGGGGCCCTGCCCCACCCCCTGCCCCCTCCTCTGCGTCCTCCTCCCCTTCTCCTTCCCCCTCATCATCTTCCCCCTCCCCCC